GTGTTCAACAGTGAATTCGGCCAGGCCTTGTAACAGAGGCTAGGCTGAACCCATATTGCTTTTGTGGAGATCAATGTTAGGGTCTCACGCCATACAAAAAGAGCCAAGCTAGCCAACAAATTAAAAGGGAAGTGAGCCTAATAACTTAATGGGCCTAAAGCCCATTTCGAATTGCGCTAATTTGATTAATTAATTATGGGCGAATTTGAGTTTAGATTTGGATCTGGATTAGCAGGATGATAAGATAAGTCTTATCCACTTAAGAGTTTCAGATCCAAATAAAGATTTGGATCAAAGACTCCTTTCTTGATTGGATTAGGAAGCTGATCCAGAGAGGTTATAAATAGAGGGTGAAATCCTTCTGTTAAAAACTTTTTGCAAAATCCAGTTCTTGCTGCCCTACCCAGTTCAATACCCATAGTCTTGGATTGATCAAGAATTGTTCTTGATTCTGATTTTTGCTAGAAAATCCAGATCTGAAGTTGTGCTCACATCCCCTATGTGGTCCTTGCTAAAGGATTGTAATTCTTGTTGAAGAATTGCTTTGTTGATCCTGCTTCATCCTAAACTGTCATCTTTAGTGGAGGCGGGATTTGGTGACATCTTTGAGCGTGAACACATACGTTGGAAGTTACGTTTATGGATTCCGTATCAGGTATATCTGTCCCTTAATCTTGATTACAGATCTAGTCCGGTTTGTTTCAAGAACGAACCTTAAGAAATGTAGTTTTTCTAAATCAGGGAATAGGATTCTCGGAAGGGAGAGAAATTTTTGAAATTTCGCCCAGCCATCCTGCATGGTTCGACCATCCATATGATGGATCTCCCTTCCCTTATCATCCTCCAACTTGATAATGGCAGCCTTAATTTCCTCCTCCGTAAAGGGTCTCTCAAGGAAAGATTTTTTGAACTTCACTCAACTGCTTGAAAGGAAGATTTTTGGGAAAAGATCTAAGAGTCCAAAATTCTTTATAAAGGCTTTTATAGAAAGTAGTTGCCATCACCTTCATTTCAGCATCTGATTCCCCAGTTCGGCCTTCCCACTCCAACTTGCTAACTAAGGAAACTCTAGCTCTGGCGTTTGCCATTTTATGAAAAAAAATGTATTTTTGTCCCCCTCCTTCAACCAAACCACCTTAGCCCTTTGCCTCCACTTGATTTCTTCCTTGACTGTCAATTTCTCAAAATTAATTTTTGCCTGGGATCTCTTCAACCTCAATTCTTCTAATAGGGGGCATACCTCTTCTGCTGAATCAATTTCCTCAATGATGCTCAATAAAGCTCTCTTTTCTATTTATGAACTCAAGTTATTTTCCACTTTCCAAATTTTGAATCTCTCTTTAATTGCACCTAATTTTTTTGCCAAAATAAAGGAGCTAGTGCCTACCACCTGAAGGTCTCTCCATACAGTCTTCAACAAGGGAATAAGCTTCTCATCTTCAAACCAGGCATTCTCGAGCTTGAACGGAGATCTGATTTTACCTCTATATCCACAAACAAGCTGAACTGGAATAGAATCTGAGACTAGCCTAGGGAGAGCAATCTGCCTAAAATCAGGAAACACACATCCTCCCAATTTGAAGAGACCAAGAACCTATCCAGTCTCACTAGAGTGGGGTTATCTTGATTATTGTTCCATGTAAATCAACTACCCTGAAGAGGGAAGTCCATCAACTCAAACATGTTAATAAAATCAGCAAACTGAAGCATTGCTCTTGATCTCCCACCTTTGGTATTCTTTTCTTCAACAGACAGGATAACATTGAAATCACCTCCAATGACCTAGGGATAAGTCAGTATGCCCCGCGCCTCTACTAATTCCTCCCAAAAGTCATCCCGAAGATTCCGATCTGTAGGACCATAAACATTTGTGACTTGGCAGATATTACCATCTGAAAATTTCAGCAGTAAAGAAATTGAGAAATTCCTAGTGTGATAGGAGATTAAGCCAGAGAAAGAAGGATCCCAAAGGCTCAACAAACCCCCTGCACTACCCACTACAAACTTTGATTTCCATCTAACCTGCCCCTCACCCCAAATAATCCTAACAATAGCAGCATCCATGCACTCCAGTTTACTTTCTTGAAGCAGGACAATCTTCAAATTAGACCTCTTCAGAGACTCACACACCACTAATCTTCTTCTACCCGAGCCCAGACCTCTTACGTTCCAAGATAAAATTTTTAAATCCATGATAAACTGCAAAAACATATCAAAAGCAACCCTCAAACTTAGACTTTCTTTACTCCCCTCGACGTCCCCTCACTACTACCTGCCTTATCATTTAGGCCCCAAGTAAGCCTCATCATCTCTCTGCTCCTCTTCGAATTTGTTTGTCCTTTCTTTGCCGCAAGTTTCCCTCTCTCCATAAGGATTCTTTGTTCTACCCCCTCCAAAAACTTAATTGTTTCATCCTCCATCCTCTCCATCGAAACTCCTAAAAATTTTCCCAAACCCATAAGTTTCGAAGAGACCCAAGAAGAGGAGGCAGAAATATTGGAGGATTTATCTCCCTGGATTATCGAGCTAGGTGCCTTACCTTTGTTGTCCTTGAATGAGCTAGATCTCCAATTGACTCTCACAGGTCATATTTTCTTCCCCCTCCTTCCTGTGAATTAAATTGATGAAGCTCCTCTCCCCTGTCTTTGAACTGTTCATCAGTACCCACCACATCAATAGGAGTAGCTTCTATCAAGTTCTCTTCCACCCGCACTAAAGAAAGATGTTGCATCTCCAACCTTGTAGCCTCCATGGTTGGTGACACTATCGAACAAGAAGGATTAGGAAACTGAAGAGGTATTGTCCGTGCGTAGATACGACCACCCGAATCTACCGGCGGAGTGGCCTGCGAACATGCCCATCGCCAACAGTCTTGGCTTTCTTTGAAGGCTGGTTGGACCAAACTGGCCCCCTATGGACCGAACTATTGGGTTCATTTCTGCAGAGGACCCTGGGTGCGCTAGTTGCTTTTGACCCTTGTCCACTTCTAACCACCCGAGGAAAAGGGCTTGTCAGGATAGATTGGTTCGGTGGGAACTTCTAAGCCCGAAATAAATTCTCCTGGTCCGAACAAAGCTCGCGGACTGGCATCTGTCGGGTTTCCCTGCACGTCTTCGACGAGAACATTGTTTTATCAGAGTTTTTAATTCTTCGACTCCTAAACTTACCAAGGTTTGAAATTTGAACGCCTCCCTCGGGATTGTTCCTTGAGGGGGCATCCTGACCCTTCAAAGTTCTCAAGATCGGACGACTCGGACTATTACTTGTTCGACTCGCTTCCACCATATGCCGGAGGGGTCATCAGCGATCGGTAACAAGGCTGAACATTACTAAGATGTTTTTGAGACTGGAGGATCTCACCAACATCCTCAAGAACAAGAGTTTTTGAAAGCTCTAAACCCACTCTCCCCTCCTTTTGGGAAAGTTCAATACTCGGATCTCCATCGACAAACAAACGGCAAAATCTCAAGCCAAATACGGATAGAGAACAAAACTTCCCCGGCGGCTATCTCCACCTTCTCCGGGATGGATTCTCTCCTTTGAACCTTCATTCTAATCCATTCACATGTAGCTAGTTCTGAAGGAGAGTCATTAGTCTCTACAAAACCTCCACACACATCTCCTATGGCTTTGATCACACTTGGGCACCAGAGGAGCAAGGGAAGGCCGAAAACCCTTATCCACGTTGAATCAGATCGATCAATATCAAACTCAGGCTCCGAGTAGAAACACCCCGCACTCTTACCCCACCAATCCAGTAAAAGAGGGTTTCTCCCCATCTGCCATGGCCCGTTATACAGAATCCACTCTCCTTCAACTCTCGATGGGCAGATGAACAAGAATAAATCATCTGCCATTTTCTTCACCCTCGCTCCCCCCACCTCCCTCCACATTCTACTCGCCCATATCTCCACTTCTCTAGCTTCCACCCCCCACCGAAATCTCCCCACCAAACATTTGTGCAGAAAGTCTCTTCTTGCTTCAACCACCTGAACCTCTATTACTACCACTAATTTGTCCTCCATCTTCTTCAGCTCTGTAAAGCCAAGATTCGGCCATGCTCCTGCAGCCGCAGCTTTATTGTAAGAGAAATTGGCTCTCGTCCTCATGCCTTCCTCTCCTCTTCAATACCAGTTATTCGCTTCCCATCTCCTCTTCCCTCTGAAAGATTTCCTAGAAAGGCTTTTTCTCATATCATTAACTATGAATTGTATTAATAAATGGTACAATAAGTAGAAGAAAGCCCCAATGATCAGCATAAAAGAGGAACCTAAGGCAGCCTGAGCTCATATCGGCTTCCCAATTCTTTTGAGATTCCTCATCACCCAGCAACCCTAACACCTAAGATGTATTTCTTCTTTCATTTTAATAAAATTTTGTTTTTTTATTTATTATCCAAAAAGAATTCTCTTGATATTCTATTTTGTGAAAGAGAGTTGAGTTTACAAACATTACATCCACCCAGTGTCTTAAGAACTATAGACAACTTTTGACTGCACATTGCAATAAAGTTTTATGAGTTCTATAAATTTTTATATGAATTATCTAAATTGCATTTTTTGCATTTAGTTGAATAAAGATTAGGTGTAAATAAGAATTGCAAAACCTTAAGTTTGAAAAAGTATTCTTCCATCTCTATGAACTTGTTCTTCAATGTGATAGTCAGATCGTCAATGGGTACATGCATGTTTTTCTGTTCCTCCCTCTCCTAGGAAGGTAATTAATCCTCAACAACTGACAAGGATTTCTTGCTTGCGTAGCTCATATTTCAGTAGGAATGTGATATCCCAATACACCTTACTTCAATAGTTATTATTAGGAGCCACTCCATGTGTTGATTGATGTAAACTAATTAGTGAATTAATTTGTCTTTTCAACTTTTTTTTTTGTGGTTCGTGTCCAGAAGTCCAAAACAGGCCATACATTTGAATTTTTGTTCCAATCTGATATTGCTAAGTGCTAATACAGAACGCCGGCAGTCAGACAATGTATAAATATACCTTGTGAGCAAGACCACTATGAAAAAGCTTCCCTGTTGCTCTAAGTTTCCAGGATACCATACCACCAGTACCAATGCAAGGTTGCTTATCTGCAGTATCAATCCAAAACCTAGGTAGAAACAAGTAAATCAAAGATTCAACTTAAGATAAACTCAACTAAGCCTCATAAGTCAAAACTTAAGATTGTTTTTTCTTTTTCTTTTTTTTTTTTTTTTGTACAAGAAAGTGTATTACTTACAGAGGACCATGCTTGAGCTTATTAAGCAACCCATCTTTTACAAGAGCATCAACTCCAACCCCCAAAATTGATGAGTTCTCTTCATTTGCTATAAAGACAGCCACCACAGTTGACTTCAACTCCGGTTTTGTCTTCCCCAGCATTCTCATGAGTTCAGTTACAAGTGCTACATGCCCCAAACAATCGGTTGTTCCACGACCTCGGAGTTTATCTCCATCGATACTCAATGAAAAAGGATCAAAATCCTGTACAAGATATCACCTAAGGTATAAAATTTCAATTCTGCGATCAAATCCGCAGAAAATCCGTCTCATGAAATAACAAAAATCGAACTTTAAAAACCACATCTTTCCAATAAAAGAAGAAACATTTTTTTCATGTCACGAAGAATCTGACAAGAAGATGAAATGGGTAATGCTAAAATTACAAAAAATGGAGCATCTGCTACAAATTAATCTCGAACATAAGAAGAAATGAAATGGATTACCAACAGAATAAGGAAAGAGTGGTCACTAAAGAACATTAAACAGTAACCCAGGAAGAATCATGAAAGAAGAATGAACAGACGGAAGGTAACAGACCCATTCATTGGGATTGGCCGTGACAACGTCCATGTGACATCCGACAAACGAGAGGATCTTCCCGGGAACAGTCCCCGGGTACTCGACAATAATGTTGCCTCTACCCTTAACGTAGGTGACATGGTTTACTATCAAAGGTCCTCCACCAGTGGTAGTGCTGTATGGAAGGAGTGCATCCAAGACGTGCCGGACTACTCTATCCTCTTCTGGGATCAGCTCTGGTGGATTGTTCTGAACGTATTTGGCCTCTCCGATGAGCTTAGAGAGAAGAGAGACAAACGAATCTTTGTCGAGTTGACCCAGTAAATCCTTCACAGTGGAAGAAACCATGATGTCCGAGGCCGAGAAAGAGGTTTCTCTAGGATTGTAATCGAACCTCTGGATAACCGGAGCTTGCTATAATACTCCTCATTCCTGAATATATTTCTCCCCTCTCAATCCCGAGGAATCCGAAGTCAGAAAAGAAAATAAAAAACGAAGAATATAAACTGTACATGGGCCGGGCTAGCTCTGGGTTGAGTGCAAAACCTTATATTTTGTATTATTTATATTATACATATTTGCATTTGTACTTTTTCAAAACCGAGTCTTAGGCCAAAGTGCCATGACAAGCCCGATACCAACTTCAACTCCTTTTGTAATGTAAAAGGAAAGTTTAATATCCCGGCTTATTAGTTGTCCAATGAGCGTGCATTTTAGCATAATAAGGATTTATCCCGTTTTTGCAGTTAAAATGTCCCTAGGAATGACAATGAGGCATTTTCTCATCTTCACAAAAATCCTTATATCTGTCTCCTTTTCTATCGAGACTCGATATGCTCCTCACACAGAGCACTTTACAACAATCTCACAAGCACATTCCACGTGCATTGAGAACATTTTTCATACTTATATGTTATTATTTACGAAAGTGTTTCCAATGTACAGTGGGATGTGTCTGTGAGGTTATTGTGAGGCACCCTATGTGAGGAGCTGATCCCAATTTGTCCCTACCACCCCAATGGTATATAACTTAATCCCTTTATCTAGAAAAAAAAAAAAGCAATTAGATGAAATGTAAACCAAGTGAGATGGGATGGCGTCAATTGGTTGTGTTGCAAGAAAAAGGTGAATTCGGATTAGTTGAACGCAAGCAGGCTGTGGAAATAATGTGGAATCAATGGTAATGTTTCATGCCATTAATAAATTTATGGGCCCCACCTTGAAAGGTGCGGATCTCATGTATTCAACTAGACCTGTTCGTGGACTAGGTAGTCCAATGGCCTGACCCGCTCCCGGCTTGGGTTTGGATATACTCTTAGGCCAACGGGCCTGAAGTTAGGCCCAAAACACTAAGCCTGCTTTATTTTTGTGTCAGGCTCGGGATTTATCATAAAAGCTCGGCCTGACTTTATTTTATATAATAAAAAATATATAAATATTTGTATATATTATATAATATATTTTATAAATATAGGCCTTGGCTTGCATTAGGCCTGAAAATTTTAGGGTTGGGACAATGCCTAATACTTCAGCTTGGCTCGACTAACAATATATTTTATTTTAAATCATACTAGCAGCCCCCCTTATATGATGCACAAGAAAAAGATGTTAGGGCTAACAAGGCTTAAAACTTATTGCTCTATAAGGCTATATAACCCCGGGATAGGGATGCGAATTTTCTCCTTCCCCACCAATCTACGTGTTCCCCATTTCATCAATAGCGTGCCCCACATGCATATATCAGCGTGCACCGTAAACATCACTCGTACTTGTCATTAGGAGATGCTTCCAATATACAGTTGGAAAACATGTTTGATGTTGTAATGTAAACTCCCAATCACCATATTCCATATAATTGCATACGAGAAGATTTATATCATGATGTTAAATTCATTATTAATATTACAATAACATAATATTATAATTTAAAACCCATTTAAATTCTATTTGAAAAAACTTATAGAAGTAAAAAGTTTTAAAATTATTTTTTATTAATTTCAATTAATATGAATAATTACATACCTTTTAAATTTTAAAATTATTTACAAAAACTAATCAAAATTTTAAAATTCCAATTATAATAAATTAAAAACTTATGCTTCATTAAAATTTTTATCATTAAATAAGTTTTGTTTAATAAGACCCATGCATGCATCACACGGGTACTAGTTTCCTAATAAAAGGAGATAAGGACTTGATGAGGTGTCAACTTGTGAGCACAAAAGGGAACATCTCCCGTGACACTCTAAAATTGCAGGATTGGAGAGGCCATGTGACATTGGTTGGTTACCCCCGGACCCACAATGGCTACCCCTTAAGATAAACTTGGATGCCTCTATTTTCATTTGGGATCGGTCGTTGACAACAAGGCTTATATCATCAGCGACTCTAACATTAATCTCGAAACTAGTGATTCACTGCCTTAAAGGAAAGGTGGAGCCCATGGAGATTCGAAAGTATTATCAATGAATGCCTCAATTTTTCTGCCATGTCCAAAGTGAACATACATCAACTTCAAGCATACATATGATGAGGCGAATCAGGCTATTGATTGGTTGGTTCGTAGCGCAGTTTCTGGTTTCGATAGTATATTTGGTTTTAATATATACTAATAGGATAGTGGGGCCTAGAAAAACTCATCAAACAAACAGATCAAATGGAGAAAATATTATCTAATTGGTACCTTTTACATTATCAAATTCTGTCTTTTTTTTTTCCGAATTTCGTTGAATTCGTATGAAATCCTGAATAGTAGACATCCAATCGAATTCGAATCGGCATCCCATTCATCCGATCGGATTTTGGATCGAATTCGGATTTTCCGATCACAGGCCTGCTAGAACCAGAAAACCTTCCTTTTCCTAACCTGTAACTTCGCAACTTTCCATTCATCTTTGCTTTTACAATTATCATATTTGCCGTAGGATTTTCACCCTTTGATTCTGGCTTTTCATTTCTTAAGACTTGGAGAAATCTCAASATCAGTGTCGAGGGGTCCAAGGAATGGCATTGGGGATTCATGAGACAGTATTCAAGTTCAAACGTGAGGTTAGTTAATGCATGCGCATAGTAGGGCTTCGTTTGTTTGTGCAGTTCAAGTTTTACCGAACCGTGGGTTTATTTTGAAACTAAATTGGGGTTACTGGTTTTTGGAAAACCGGTAATGGAAATTGGACCGAAGTTAATCATTAATCGGTTGACCAGTTTGATTAATCATCGGTTCAGTTCGTTGGTTTTTTATTATTTGTAATATATATTATGAAAAAAAAATAATATATATATATATATATATATAAATATATAATAAAATACTAAAAAAATATATAAAATATTATATTTAAATAATAAATAATATATTATATATTATAAATATATATATTTATATAATGCATATTTACTAATTTATAATGTATAGACAATATAAAATATATAAAAATATATGTATATCGGTTGATTTGATATTTTGAATAACCAAAAAAACTGAATCGGTACCTTCAATTTTTTAAAAATATCTAACCGAAATCGAATCAACCGATTTGGTTAACCAAATTTTAGGTTCAGCTTTTCAATTTTTCTTGCTCACCCCTGGGTTTGATCAAGATTGTCTCGCTCTGTTTCTATGTGATGAACTTTATAATGCTTTTCCAATAGTCAAAATTGAACTGTTCGTAGCTGTTCTGCAGAAGATCCCAGAGGTAACCTTTTCAAAAAGAGTGGGTTGTTATTGGAGTTACATTTTCATTCAATGAGTTGAAGCCTCAGTAGATTTTAGTTTTGATAGAATGAGCGGTTGTATGGATCATAAGATTGCTACCTTGGGGCTTTCACTGTAAAGTCGTGTACCTTTTTCTATTTCTGTTTCTGTTCTTACGATTTTTCACAGTAATTCTCTCTATTTATTTATCACCTCACAGTACCATGGAATGTCTCCATAATTTATTATGTATTTTTCAGTGATCTCCCTTTTTGTAACTTGGTGTTGCAGCATGCTACTCTCTCTATCAGTATTGCTTGCTGTGTCTCATCATAGATTTTTATTGTTCCTTTTATTTTTTTACCATCTGTACAGACATTACCTATCCGAATGGCATCTAAACATGTACGGAGCTTCAGTTACCCTATTTCCCCTGGTAATCATATAGATGTTTTATGGTCTTTGTCTGTATTACTTGAAGGATCTGATTATGTGGACGTGGTTGTGTTCTTCTTCTAAGGGATCTTTATTAACTTCATGTCATTACAGGTGGTCTGATAGGTAGTCCAGTTTGTTCCAAGCAAATACGGTTAGCAATGTATCTTATTTTGTGATTGCTGATAAAAAATGTATCTTATTTTGTGATGATTAGTTTATTTATCTCTCTCTCCATAATTTTTTATTGAAAATCTTTATGATAAATTTATTATTATTTTTTTTTTCTAAAAGCAAAGTTTTTGTGGTATACAGGGAAACTGCACTCCTGCAAACAGAGAAATCCACTCAAATGTGGAATAGGTCACCTTATTCAAACAAGGGTATGAAGTTCACATTCACTCTGAGTGCTATACTGAATTTTCCTGTAATTTTTCTTGTAAGGGCTTATACTCTATATTTTTATTGTTGTTGTTATTGTCAGGCTTTTATAGGAGAGTTCTTCCATCTCCTCCTGCAATCGAGTTTGGTTCATCTGAAGGGAAGGTATACATTGATCTCTTGCACTTCTTTCTTTTTTTCCTTGTTAGATTTGTCCTGGTTTATGACTTTTCATTTTCTTTAAGAGGAAAAAAATGTATGACATGCAAAGAATAATCATAAACTAATGAAGCATTCCCAAAATCCTGTTAAGAACCTCTTCCTTTGAAGTTTGACTCCCTTGGAAGATTCTACTATTTCTTTCTAGTACAAATAAAATTGTGTTATGTATCGAAAATGGAAAAAAAAGGAAACAGATGTTTATTGATGAAAATTTAACTTTCTGAACTCATTTTTGGGGATTTATGTGTTTGAGCATTGATTCTTTGTTTGTGAGTAGAATCATATATTGGGAACTTAGGTACTTTTTGGTAGAGATTTTAACAGTGTTGCATGGACTCTCCTAAGGCTCTGTTTGGAAAGGGTACAACAAATATGTACAGTGCAAATACATACAAAATAGGGAAAATTCCTGATCAGTACCCTCTACTTTGGCTCGAGTGACAATTTGGTCCCCGAACTTTAAAATGCGACAATCCAGTACCCGGATTTTCAAAATGTGACAATCCAGTACCCAAACTTTCAAAATGTGACAATCCAGTACCTGTCGTTAACCAGTCTGTTAATCAGCTGTTAAGTGACATTTGAAAATTCAAAAATGCCCTAAGAATGCCATCTAATTCTCTTTATCAACCATCCAAACATTGACAATAAAATGAACAGTAACAAATTCTAGATTCTTCTAAACAATCACTAACTTTTTTGAATAGAAGAGCCTAGGATTTGGGACTGTTCAGTTTTTTGTCAACGTTTAGATGGTTGATAAAGATAATTAGATGGCATTCAAAGGGCAATTTTGATTTTTCAAGTGTCATTTAACGGCTGATTAACGGACTGGTTAACGACAGGTACTGGATTGTCACATTTTGAAAGTTTGGGTACTGGATTGTCGCATTTTAAAGTTCGGGTACCAAATTGTCACTCGAGCCAAAGTACAGGGTACTGATCGGGAATTTTCCCTCCAGAATAATATAAAATACATGGTTTTGCACTGTACATATTGGTATTTGTACTCCTTCCAAGCTGAGCCTAAATGGATGATGTGTCATCTTGGACATGTTTGCGAGTCTGACACTACTGATTCTTGTGGACATTTCTACATAACATTTCTTTTTTCTCTCCTAGCTTATTTGATGTCAATGAACAGCTGATCCAATTGAATCCATTTTTTGTATCAAACACGACTTAGTAAGAAAGGCAACATTTTTTGTAGGTATATAATGTTGTAATTCAAAAATCTGAATTATTTTAATGGTATATACATTTCCATAGATGTGTCTGCAAGTCCATGTTTTCTCATCTTACTGAGTCGGATTCTTGGACATGTGTTGGATTCCAACTCCCGTGTTTGTGTCCACATAATACTGGAACCTCTCAATTGGTAAATATAACTTTATGATTAGTAACGAAAAGTTACAATAGGTTTAGCATGGTGTTTTTACTCTCTGATAGTAGACCAATATCAGAAAATTATTTTATTTTATCTTTTTATAACTTTGACAATTCTGCACTTAGGAGGGCAGGATAAATATTGGCTCCTTGATGCAGGACATAGTCATTAGTGGGTGAAATAACATGTTGGCTTGCTCATACGGACAAACTCTCTATGGAAGGATTAAAACCACTTGCGGGGCATAATTAGGATGGATATAGGGTGGAAGAGTATAAGACTTAAAACTAATTTGCTGTGTCAAGTTGGTTCCATAATACAGGACATAGTCGCTAATGGGTGAAACTAACATGTTGTATCTAGTCTCCTTGGTATAGGACAGACTCACTATGGAAAATTAAGAACCACTTGTAGTGTATAATTAAGATGCTGTAGGTGGATGAGTGTAGGACTTAAAACTGGTTTAGTGGGTCAAGTGGAGTCTTTAGGGCCATAAATTAGGGAAATAAAGAAGAAAATAAGATGAGGTATGATAGTAATGCAAGAACTCCAAACAAAGAAATAATAGATAGAGCATAAACAAAAATAGAGGTAGAACTAGCACAAGTAATGTATAGAAGGAGTTTTTCTTAGAATTCTACATGTAAAGGCACCACTTATGAAGTGCAAGGCATTAGCAGTAAACAACAAATAAGCTTCAGGCAAAATGGTGTTCAAAATTCTTTAACAACAACATGATCTTATATTACTCATTAATCCAAATTCTTCTAAATAGCCTCAAACTCATCTAAAGTTGAAATTGAAAAAAAACCTTAAAAGCTTCTAAAGATAATTTTTTCATCAATTACATTAATTAAAACATTTAAACTACCTGCAAATGTTAATTTCCTGAACAGTAAAATGTTTGTATATTGACCATAACCTGCTCAAATCTTGTTCCAATTGAATACTCTAATAATACCAAATTCAAGCCTCATGAGAATGACATCTTGAATTTGGGCTAGAAGAAGAGAGCACAAATTTCCTCCTTCATTGCATCTGTCCATTTAGGGATAGACAAGTCTTTTTCAACACTTTTGGGAATGGAAACACAATTAATGGTAGTCAGAAAAGCACGGAATGAGGGTAAGATGTTTCCATAAGGCAAGAAATGGGCAATAGGATGTTTAGTGGTACATGATCTAACACCCTTTCTATGAGCAATTGGGACATCAAGATCATTAATAGAATCATCAATAGCATTTGGCTCAGTAACATCTAGAGGAACAAGGACACCTGGATCCGCCTCCAAGGAGTCAGATGATGTTGGATGCACAGTTTTTGGCTATTCTACACTCTTTGAACTCAGTTGTCCCTTACGACTCCTCAGAAAACCACGAAATGGAGTGGGATTTGAGGAACTTGCCTCTCCTTTTGCATTCTATTCTCCCCCCCTGAGGAGAGGCCGGGAAGAAAGGATCATACTCAAAAAGGACACATCCATTGATACAAGGTACTTGCGAGAGATAGGATTAAAGCATTTGTTACCTTTTTTGGGAAGACAGGTAACCCAAAAAAAATACATGGGATAGACTTGGGGTCCAACTTACCTTAATTTCGGGATAAATCATGAACAAAGCATTTACAACCAAACACATGCACATAAAAAACAAAGGAGATTGAGGGAACAACAGTTGATGTGGGGCCTTCTATTGTAAGAGACAAGAGGGCATGCGATTAATGACATAAGCTACAGTCATCATAGCATCAACCTAGAACTGCTTGAGAACATTCATTGTAGCATCATACTATGGGAAACTTCAAGAAGATGTCGGTTCTTCCTTTCTGCAACACCATTCTGTTGTGGTGTTTTGGCACAAGAGCTTCGATGAAGAGATCCATGAGATGCAAAGAAGTCAACTAGATCATGATGAAAATATTCTTTTGCATTATTTGATTGGAAAGTTTGCATCTCAACATGAAACTATATAAAAACCATGCAATGAAGTTCCTTCACAATTCTGGGTACCTCTTCTTCGGAATGCATAGGGTATATCTGTGTATATCTAGAATAATCATTAATGAAGTTGATTAAATACTTGTATTTGCCCTCAGTGGGTATGTTCATTGGGCCCCAAACATCAGAGTGCACAATATGAAAAGGAAAAATGGATCTTTTATTACTTGAAGGAAAGTTTGTTCTACAATGTTTGCTTAATCGACAAGTTTGACATTGCAATCCAGAGGTAGGCATGGACTTAAATAGATCAGGAAACATAACTTTCAATGACTTAGAAGACAAATGACCAAGGCGATTATGACACAACCACACTTGACTCTTAGTAGACTAACTCAAAAGACTTACAGGAGTTGATGTTGTAGGACCAACTTTATTCTCCAATATGTAGAGGCCATCAACCTATGTCCTTTACTAATCGTCCTCCTCAAGGCCAATCCTAAGAAACACAAGAGCGAGGAAAAAGTGTTACACAACAATTCAGGGATTGAGTGATACTACTAATGGATAATATGTTAATAGAAGTTTGGGAACATAGAGAGCATAGGGATAGGGTATGATAAGACCATCAGGAAGAGATACCGATCCTTAACTGGCAATGGTGGAGAAGGATCCATCCACTAGTCTCACTTTATGTTATGTTTGTGCCTTGAATTCTTTGTGGTGACCCGCTTCATGAATTTGCTCTGAATTAATTTGAGAAAAACCCGAAGGCAAAATTTCATAGTGGTTTGTGGTGGAAGCGTAGGGCTTGGGCCATGTGCCCCTGCGGCGGTATGGACCCGATCCATGTTCATCTTATAGGTCCGAACCGAATGCGAAGAGTTATGTATTTTGGAGGTTTTCTCTCTTGTACATAGAGTCTTAGTCTTGTGAGAGATGAGTGAGACATTGGGTGTATTTGGGGCTTAGGGTTTTTTCTGTGAGGGCACAACTTTGTATTTCTTCTCCATTGCCAACTCCATAGTGGATTTCTGTTCCTCCTTCGCCCATGGACATAGGCTATAAGTCGAACCACGTAAATCTGTCTGTTCTTTGTGCTTGTTTCTCTTTATCTCTACTTTTAATTTCAGTTTGGGTGCCATTTGAATATGTTTTCTTGGGTTTTTCCGCAACACTTTATCCCTACAACAAAAGAGTGTATAGGTCTGAAATAAATTTGACTTACTAGTCATATGATTAGATGCCCCTGAGTCAATGATCCAAGGGGAATTTGAAACGGAGGTAGACACATGAAATGTAGAAGCACTTTTACCTAATGTAGATGCAAAGGAGGTAGATGGGGTAGGAGCCGACCTATCCATTTGTCCCAGGGTCCTACCATATAGTTCCAAGTGATCTCTAAAGGAGTAAATGATGTCTTCCTTAGGGTTTGAACCAATAGAATGCTTTTGGGAAGTACCAGAAGTTTAGTTACTTGACTGAGAATCTTGAGTAGTCAGATTTGTAGAGGTAAATTTCTTCTGAGTAGGCTTCTTTGAAGTATGCTGATTCTTGGTTGCTCACTTGGGTTTCCCAACTAACTCCCAACAAGTCTCTTAGGTGTGTCTTGACTTTTGGCAGTGAGTACACCACAATTTATCCTTATCATCATTTTTCCTTGATTAACCTTTTCTCATTCCAGTGTTGCCTCCTCTTGCTGCTTGGGCAACTGGCTGCTCCCCCTTAGAAGCATTCATCATATTTCTTCTACTCTCTTCAGATTGAACCAAGGTGTATACCTCCTGTAAAGAGGGAAGTTCACTACTTCCTAAAATCTGCACGCGAAGTGATTTTAGCATCCTCATCATTTTTCCATTCAATGGTTTGATAATGGTCCAGCTCCTTCCACACAGAGGTAAGAGCTGAATAGTAAGCAGATAGGATACGGTCTCCCTGCTTACATGTAGATGATTCTGCTTGAAGTTGGTATATTTTAGCATAATGTCTCTGTTTTGAGTAGGTTACCTTGACCTGTTCCCAAATCTCACAAGTTGTATCAGCCCATATGAAGTTTTTCTTTACATGTGGCAGCATAGAATCCAAGAGCCATGACATAACCATACTGTTCTCTTGATCATCTATCATGTTCATCTGTACCAGATTTTGGTTCTTTAATTTCCCCATTTATATAACCAGCCTTGCCCAAGTTTTTCTTTCATCTGTACAGTTTGATGCCTTTGGATGATTCCAAGTAATTGAGTCCATCAAAGGGAGTGATAGACATCGAGAAATTTGTGTTGTCCATCCCTCCGTTAAGATTTCCTTGGGGAAAGGTAATTCTGGAAGATATCTATATATATATATATTATATATATATAATAAAGTTATTGAAAATAATATATATATATATATAATAAACATATTATAATTCTTAATTTTTAAATATCAAATAATTTTTTTTTATATATAATTTTTTATTTTTATAAAACATTTTTTCTCAAATCGAGCTCGAGCTTAGCCGAGTTCGAGCTCAAGGTTCTAGCTCGAACCGAGCTCTCGAGCTAGAGCCTTGTACTACCTTGGTGAGCCGACCTCGAGCCTCGTACTATTTGGCTCGGCTTGGCTCAGATCCACCCCTAGTTATGTCATCCACTGTGAATTCCTTAAACAACTCATCTGATTTTACCCAATGCACTATCTTGATAGTGATGCAAAGGCAACAAGGTGTGTAGGTTGAATAAATTTTTATATGGGCTGAAGTAGTTACCAAGGGTGTGGCTTGACAGGTTCAGGGGTGCAATGCTGAAGTTTGGCTATTCACATTCTCATTCTAATCATACACTTTTCATTAGGAGAAACGGTGACTTGTTAACTGTTTTGATTGTGTTGTTGATGACATTGTGGTGACTATAAATGATGCAGTTGAGATAGATCACTTGAAGGAGTTCTTGCATAAGGAGTTTGAGATAAAAGATTTGGGAACTTTGGGCTACTTTCTGGGAATGAAGCTGGTCAGGTCAAAGCATGGCATCTTTTCCTAGGGGTGAAACCTGCTAACATCTTTCAACCTGGTTTCTTGCTAAAGTTTTGTAGAATTATTTTACAAAGAATATTCCGTTACTACTTTCCTTTGACCATCTCCCATCATCCCTCTGTACACGCATCTCCATTGTCTACAATTTAGCTAGCAAGCTAACAAACCCCACCTTCCGATTAAAGAGTGGTCTCCTAAATTTTGGATACTAAATAACAGAACCTTGAACAACTTCATTACATTGAGATATTGAAATGCTTTTCCTTCTCTTTCAATTAGAGTTATTATCCCGGCTAAAGATAAGTACTTCCCTTTCCAATAGTTTTTGTTCAATCTTATCTAAAATCGGCTACCAAATAGAATGTGAAGATGATCTTACTCTAATTGGAAGCCCCAAATAAGGAAATTCCCCCAACCAAACAACTCATACCCCTGCACATTTTTCCAAAGAAGACTGAGAGATCTAACCCACTCCAATCCTGACACTTTCTCATTTATTTTTTGACCAGCCAACATCTCAAAATGCCTTATTTTACTGGTAGTCAATCACATTTGCCTTTGGATATTGCAGAAACTCTTTGCTGAAGCTTATGAGGCAGGACACATGGAAGGATACTTCAAGTTGAGTCCTTGCTATCAAACACAATCCGAGCCTGCATATTGTGGACTTGCCAGCCTATCGATGGTCTTGAATGCCCTTGGAATTGATCCTGGAAGAAAATGGAAAGGTAAGCTTAGTTTTTACATCTATTAAAAGTGGGTTAATGTTGATTGTTTGAAGTGGCTCTGAATTCAATGAACTAGGTTTAAGATTCCCAAGAATAACAACCAATTATTTTCTTTATGTCTTATTGGTTAGATGAGCCATTAACTGTATTTAATTTCTAACAAATTGATCTTATATGATGGAAGTTGTGCAAGTTGATTTAATCTTCCATCCAAATGAATTCTTGTATGTTTAGGAATAAAAGCTATCCTCAAGTAAATATTTCTATATAATTTTAGAAACAATGCTCAAGGATTGAATAAAAAATGAGCACATTAGAGGGAAACTATGAATAGCTCTCTAGTGACAAGATGAGGGAAAGTTGAGTGAGATTGTTTAGTCATATTCATATGAATTATAATAATTTGGACAACTAAGACAAGTTTCATTAGAACACACTAGATAAAGTTAGTTTTATTATATGATAAAAATGATAGTTTATGGCCCTCATTTTCTCATTATTAAGATGATTTATGGAACAATGTAATTTACTTTTGGCATATGCATTCATAATAATGCTTTACCTTTTAATCCTTAAAGGAATGCATCACTTTTCTTTTGACATTTCCTTTCAGGTCCTTGGAGATGGTTCGATGAACATATGTTAGATTGCTGTGAATCTTTGGAAAAGATTAAATCGGAGGGCATTTCTTTTGGAAAACTTGCATGTTTGGCCTATTACAATGGAGCTAAAGTTGGTGCTTTTAGGACTAACCAAAGCACTATAACTGATTTCCATAAATATGTCATGACATGTACTTCTTCTGAAGATTGTCATGTCATTACATCATTTTATAGACCACATCTCAAGCTGGTAATAACCTATGCTCATCTTTGCAAATCAATTAATTGTATATTCTGTTTAGTTCTCAACATTTCACTTGAGGATAATCTCTGGATAGGCAGGCAGATACTTTTCTCCAAGTATCCCGGATGGACAATTATAGATAATATATGATCTTTTCAAGCCATTACCTAGGTGGGCAGGCTTTTTAGGTTACTAATGTAGTTCTCATTTAAATACTAATTTAAATATATGACAAAGTAATGTCCACTTCTTGAAGTATTCAGTGTTTAAGGTGTATGAGGAATGGGGTTATTTTGGGAAGAAAAATTATATTCAGGGACTTTAATGTAATATCAGTCCCATTTGGAGTTCTTATAACTTTTAGATAGTTTAAAAGTTGAAAGCTGAACCACTGCAGTCGATGTAGCAGAAAAGAGGAGAAGAAGAGATGCTGGAATGTCGAACTTTACTAGCCAGTCGACCATGCTATTATTTATATTTGAATATAGTACAAGATACAAGAAAGTACTAGAATGCCCCTGATTAGTGATGGGACACCCATTTAACTTAAAACACTAAACAGGCTTAGGCCCATTAACACAGGCCCAGTTACAGGATAACTTAAACTTCAGTATGGGCTAATAAGAACTCTTATAAGTTGAACACTCATACAAAGAGACTTCATTCTAACATTCTAAAATTCCCCCTCAAGCTAAGCATGGATATCAATCATGTTTAGCTTGCCAAGTATGCCCTTGAACTTTGTTGCTGCCAACCCTTTAGTCAATACATCTGCAATTTTTATCTCTGATGGAGTATAAGGCACACAGTTCTCCCGAGACAATTCTCTCTCTGACAAAGTGTCGATCAATTTCAATATGTTTTGTCTTGTCATGCTGCACGGGATTGTTGGCAATGTTGATAGCATCTTTATTATCACAATACAGCCTGAGAGGACTCTCAGCCTTAATACCAAGCTCATTAAGAAGAGTTCTGAGCCATAAGAGTTCAGCAACCCCRTGKGCCATAGCTCGRTAYTCTRCTTCTGCACTTGATCTAGCCACTACATTCTGCTTCTTACTGCGCCATGTGACCGGGTTTCCTCCCAAGAGTGTACAGTAACCTGAGGTTGATTTTCTGTCTCCAACAGACCCAGCCCAATCTGCATCAGTGTAGGCTTCAATTTCAAGTCTTTTGTTTTTCCTAAATAGAATTCCTTTCCTTGGGCAAGTCTTCAAGTACTTGAGAATTCTTTCCACTGCTCTCATATGAGGGATCTTTGGTGAGTGCATGAATTGACTGACAACATGCACTGCATAAGCAATGTCTGGCCGAGTAAGGGATAAGTATATCAGCTTTCCTACCAATTTTTGGTACCTCTCTTTATCACAGTATTCCTCACCCATTGATTCTTGTAGTCCATGGTTCGGTTCTATTGGAGTGTCTGCTGGCCTGCACCCCATCATGCCTGTTTCCTCTAGGAGATCTAGCACATATTTYCGYTGACATATGTAGATTCCTTCTCTTGATCTAGCAACTTCAATCCCAAGAAAATATCTCAGATTTCCCAGGTCTTTGATCTCAAATTCTGAAGCTAAGAACTCTTTCAGCCTCTTCATCTCTTCCAAGTCACTTCCGGTAATCACCATATAATTCACATAAACAATGAGTGTCGTAAGTTTGTCATCCTGTCTCCTTGTAAACAATGTATGATCTCCACTGCTCTGAGTGTACCCCACTTTCTTCGTGGCCATACAAAGTCTCTCAAACCATGCCCGGGGAGACTGCTTCAAACCATATAATGCTTTCCTTAGTTTACACACCTTCTTTCCAACATCATA